ACGTTACATATTTACAGATACCAATCACCTTTATTGTGTTATGTTAATGTAGTGCAACACTTCAAGCATTCTAAAGGTGAAAAAACATGGGAAATAGATATAAGTGATCGAGTATATGAAATCCATAGGCATATGAAGTGGTGAACTTATAGGATTATCTATTAAGACATAAATAAAGCCTACTAAGTTACATTTCTTTCTTAGACCAACAATGGTTATCATAAATATAGAATGTAACATGCCAACATACATGAAGCATTAGGGGAAGGAGAAGTTGATGTTTCGCGATGACTTAACAACCGAAGAATATTTTGGTTTTTCTCTCCATGACGGGAAAGCATCACGTCAATCTTACGTTGAATTTCTGATGTAGCGAAGTATGTATCCACTACTCTTTTAGTGAGAGATTCAGATGTTTCATGCTTTCCAATCTTAAAATATCTTCTCTTTGTTCGATCATAAAAGTATCCCGGCAAATCTGACGGTTCTTCCATAATAACGGTCAGATTTGCCGGGATACTTTTATGATTGAACAAAGAGAAGATATTTTAAGATTGGAAAGCATGAAACATCTGAATCTCTCACTAAAAGAGTAGTGGATACATACTTCGCTACATCAGAAATCCAACGTAAGATTGACGTGATGCTTTCCCGTCATGGAGAGAAAAACCAAAATATTCTTCGGTTGTTAAGTCATCGCGAAACATCAACTTCTCCTTCCCCTAATGCTTCATGTATGTTGGCATGTTACATTCTATATTTATGATAACCATTGTTGGTCTAAGAAAGAAATGTAACTTAGTAGGCTTTATTTATGTCTTAATAGATAATCCTATAAGTTCACCACTTCATATGCCTATGGATTTCATATACTCGATCACTTATATCTATTTTCCATGTTTTTTCACCTTTAGAATGCTTGAAGTGTTGCACTACATTAACATAACACAATAAAGGTGATTGGTATCTGTAAATATGTAACGTACATTGCATTAGCAAAGCTCTAAGTTTGCTGTAAGAATAGAATAAGCCTGTTTTCATTCACCTACGCAGGTGAATCACCTGATAATACTGTCCGAGAAAGTTAATGGTCCAGCATTCGTAGCTAATGTCCAAAACAAATATACGGGCAAAAAACACTGTGCACTTCAACAACTGACAGAACGGATATACAATATATTAGTGCTGTGACAGATAACCGGATATCAATGAAGTGTGGAAACTTCTCAAGTTGGCCAATCCCCAAAAAACCGTTTGTATTTATGCTGAGATTTCGCCAGCAACGCGTTCACTAGGGTTGATGAAACTTCATATTAGCGACATGGTCAACGCAATTAGCCACTTCACTACTTTTACTGATGTATGAGCCAGTTCAGTCCAATCGTGTGTCAGAGAACTTTTAAAAATTGCGAAGCACATACCAGTTACATATAGATAAAATGTGACGGTTGACGAGAGCCGTGTACAGAGATACACACCGTATGCATCAAGTCACAATGAATTGCACAGATGACACTAGTCACACATTCCGACCTTGACGCAACTTTTATTAGCACAACTGGTCACAATTTTCGTGACGATAGATGTCTTTGGTAGGTAGTGTAAAGAGGCAATTGAAAGAACGTACTTTTCATCAAGGGAACAGACATCAGTACATTCACTGTGTGAACCCATTTTTGCTACAACCGACTAGATCCATTAATTTACTTTAAAAAATGGACATTGAAAAATATTGTAAACTTGGGCTTATAAATCTATCCTTAAGACAATGGCTGACAACCCAGTACTTAGCAGTGTTTATTTCACAAGGTTGACAAGGCAGGGGAAGTCGACCCAAACTTAGCTTAAACGACGTGAGAAGACAAACTTTCCCAATGTGGGCAGAAAAGTCTATGGAATGAATGCTGACCAATGTATATACATTGAATATATTGGACCTGAAATCTCTTTCCAACTTCATGATACACTACTGAAAATACTGGTGTACTAAAACACCCACCCTGACATTAATTCAGAAATAGTTTACGAATATATATTTCCGTTTCACTTACGTTTACCAGTACCGACTGTTTAGTACTCTTCCTCCTACTTCTCAGTTGCCGTTTTGACTTTCCAGTGTCCTTTGGCACTGTCAACGGAGACCTGGAGCGTGAGTTTTGATACCCTATGGTACGATTTAAAGGATTATGTTCACACCTGCTATACTCACTTTTGCCTGGCGCTTTTGAGTCGCAGACAAAGCAAGGGTACTTTCAATCCTTTAAAAGTAAATAATTAGCTGACTGTAGCTTACTGTTTCCCATTGGGTCTAATTATTTTCACATATCTCTTGAAGCGTAGCCCAACGATGTTCTTCAATTTGCATCGCAATAGTGTTAATTACAGTCTCAGCCTGATCTTCAGTATGGAGGGAGAGCAGTTGTTTATAGAAGTCTGAAGACTGGTGGAAATGATTCTGTTGACACACTAAGTCTCTGAACCACAGAGAAGAATTGACTTAACATTAGTGTTGACAATCCTATTCTTAACTGATTAAAAATACTCATTAAAATTCTTCACCAGAAAGGTTACTGAACAAAGAATATTCTTTTCGATAACTTCATCATCAGCTCCTACATGTATGTATACATAGAAAAGTGAGTGAATTAGTGACCTTAACAACAACATTAATGTTGTTCATATAACATCGAACCAATAATAATAATGATATCAACGGATTACAACAGTCCGATAGCCTTAACATAACAACACGCTGAATATCAGAAAAATTAGGAAAGATAATAATACAAATTCATGGACTTATGGTCTCTACTGAAGACCAGGGCAGTAGTAGTGGCTGGACTTACTTCTTTTGCACACAAAACACTGGTTTTTTCATGCGAATCGCGATAGCCTCCGCTGTTTGGAGTATGCGGTACCTGGATGTTTTTGGCAATTTATCTAGCACTCGGTGGAAGATAGAGAAGGATTCTTCAATGCTAGATTTGTAATCGGCCAGTTTGGATCAGGTGGTCTAATATCGAACTGTCGATGGTTTTTACTACACCTTTACTTAGTCACACTGGTACATGTTCACCAGAGAGCAAGAAAAATCAAGTTCCTAGAGCAACTGCCAATACAACTCGCTCCACAAGCGCAGTTAAAATTGGTAGATACAATTAGAAGTGGCTAGTCTAGGTACTTGTGCTTTCAATCGAGGAATCACCATCAGTCATGTGGGAAATATGACTTGTAGTTTACCAGCATTAAAACTTCTTTGAATAGATTTCCTTAACTTGTCACTGGGTGTGTCACACCCCTTAATTGCAGTCGTAAAGGCTTCTTATTGACAGATGGAGAATAGTCCTTTTCTGCTTTCTTGATCATGTGTTTCTTGATGGACTTTTCAGGATAGCTATCCTTAATTAGGGTGTAATATGCAATCCTTACTTCATCTTCAATTACCACGTCTCGGCATATAGCTCTAACTCTGTGGCTGAGGGTCCTTACTAAATTTCTTTTGTACTGGAGAGGAACGAAACTATGAAAATGTGTATACTGTCCTGTCCATGTGCTTTCCTTAAGCAAATTTCTCTTTGTACTACCACCTAGTTTTCTTGTAAGCAGGACATCCAGGAAGGCAATTCTATTTCGGGATTCGTCTTCACACATGAATTTTATAGCAGAATGAACTTCATTGAATTGAGTTATTATTGTGTTCCTATCCGAATCATTATCACAAAGAATAAAGGTGTTATCCATATACCGGCAATGAAGTGAGAATTTTCTGATAAGGTTGTTCAAAGGTCCCTTTTCTAGTTTACTTGGAAAGAAATCTGCCAAAATGGGATCCAATAGGTAGTGCATCACCACTACCCCATCCACTTGTCTGTAGTGTGCCATCAAATTTGAAATCTTCATTCATGGTTCCTCCAGCTAACTGCAACAGATTCATACACTGATATCACAGTCTGTCTCGCCTTTCGATCCTATCTTCGACATCCTTATCTGTGATGTATGTAGTTGAAACGGTGTTGCCTAGATAGGTGAAATAATTAACTTCCTTCAAATTCTTCCCATTGATGGTGATCGGTGATTGTTATTGTTACGTATCTTCATTCCCTTCTGCTTATCTACAATAACTCTGAGTCCAGTCTTTGATGCTTCTTCTACAAATTTGTTGGCTTTTGCCTGCACGTCTTCCACTTTGTGTGAACTTATCCTGGAAACTGCTTCAACACTAGGGGGTTGTACTAAATCTTTATCAATTTCAATCAACTCCTATATGATGATGTAACATGTCAATTGATTCATAACGGAACACTCAGCGAAGCCCTCGATTTGGTGACAGGAGTAAGTCTACTAGCACCGATGATATTCTTGATTTTGGTGGATCGGATAATGTGGCATGCCATGGGGAAAGATGGTAATCGTGTCAGTTTTATAGCTAAATACCATTTTCCAGTTTTGGTTTTCAATCTCTGATTAAACCTTGTCTCTGTTATTATGTTATTTATGGAACTAAACAGTTTAGCTAAATGACACTAATGCACGTGGCCATGATCCCGCGTCCTAATGCTCCGTCACAACAGTTTTACCCGATAAGTATAACTGCGTCATTATGTTTTTATGAGGAGTAATGGTTCTACAATGCAGAGCTTTTCAAATAATTCTTGATACAAAAAAGCTGAAAGACCTGGTGGGATATCATATGCAATAGTTTAGCAAAACATATGACAGCAAAAAGTAATATTCACCTAATCAAAAAGAACTGAACAAAAATTAGTTTCAAATTGTTTTCTAACAAAAGCTTCATAAAGAATTAGCAATAATATAAAGGAATTACAATCGCCACATCACTCGAATGTCATAAGAGCGAGGAGAAATTAAAATTAACTTGCAATTAGAAAACTAAGCCAATAGTTTACGTTTTAATCCGGCAGGATAACAGCATAATAGGAAAGTGACTAACACATAGTAATTTCAAATGAAGGCGACAACGAAATGTTTAATACACTTACGTGAATTTCTCTGGCTTCACGAAGCATAACAGATGAAAATATTCTTCCAAATTATTCTGCAATGGTGTTTCAGTCAAAAGGATTCTGAAGTTTGAATGATACCGATAGGTTGGTTTCCAAAACTAAAAAACATGTAATATGAGGTCTGAACAGTTCAAATTACAAAAACTCACAATTCGTAAATTAATTCAATGAAAAATTATCAAAAGAAACTAAGTGATGGAATTATAAACTAACTAAGAACTAATACAGGAAGTTCATAACATCTACGGTTTTGCTACATATAAAATTATCATCTAAATATTGAGGATTTGCGAGTAACTGTAATTGAGTGTGCATCGGTGGTACAGCGGTCAGGACACTCGCCGACGATCCACATGGTCCGGAGTTCGATCCCCAGCCGACGCTTAGCCAGTAACGAAGCTGGTAAGGTGGAAAGGCTGGGCATGAGGCTAGCAACCCTATCGTGAAAAAATAAACACTGCTACAGAAACTTCAAGCCTCTCAGCTTGAAGCCCTCTATTCCACAGGGAACATGAAGGAAGTAATTGAAAGTAAAGCGAAATCCTTCAACAAATACCTTCTGCAATGACATTACAAAAAAAATGTGTACAAAAAAACAGCATGCACTACTTATGCATAAGAGTATTTGGCACTAACTTGATTGACACGGTCTCCGAATCCCGAAATGTTAAACTTGCACAGAGTAGATTTAATTCATGAGATGCATTTAGTTTTCGAGATACAAAGAGCCATACTCCCATTGCAAATATTTATAGACAGTAGAAAATTAAAAGTTCTTCATACTGATTTCTACTTTTCTCCTCCAAAGTAACTTTGTAAATCCTTCTGTGTCATTGCCACTCACTGAAAAATTATTGGACAGCGATGAGGATGCTTTGATACAATGAGGAAAATTTCAAGCTCAGATGAATTATTTTCAATAAGTTGTGTTCTTTGAGCAGTTTGATTTAATTGCAAAGCTTTCATCGTTCTTCTAGACAACATTTTCAGCACAGGTTTTAGTATGAAATGAACTTATTTAAATTCTCCATGAATCATATAACTGTATCTTCTGGCAACCTTTGTCATGGATGATTGTTAATTTACGTCTCCATTGATCGTTTTTACTGACTTCGAATTCGGACTTTGTTAACAAGTGATTTAATTTTTATTAGCTGCTAAATTTGGTCTATCGTAATGTGTTTGTTAATTGCTAATTAACTTCACTACCAGCCTTTTAGAAATTTCATGGCACCTATGATCAAGGAAAACCAGCCTTTTCATGTCTTCCACTCTCAATGGCCATGTCTCACTCACGGCCATAAAGGAGGACGGAGCGGACTGCTGGGCAGTACACACACCCTTTGGTCGACAGTCGGATATCACGTCCACGCCAGAGACGGCGTAAATTGGCGTATGCGAAACTAGCCTTCTGTATACGTGCTGAGATTTCGTCAGCGACCAACCCGTTGGGGCTGATACAACTTCCCAAATAAGTGAAGTGGTCAACACGCTCTACCACTTCACTTCCTATTTCTAAGCTAGGAGTCAATGTGCGACTTGTTAACACTACCGATCATAAGTTCCATGATAGACGCACTAGAGAAAAAAATATTCCACTGCAATCAAACAGTTAAGACACCTGAAGAGAAAATAATTTTTTGACAGTACATACGCATCAATAAAAAGAAACCATCGTTTCACAATCAAATACAGATACACATTTTATTACAGCGACTACACTAAAAACCTCCGGATGTTCGGCATGAAACTTACTATTTTCGTTTTCAAAAATTAGAACCAAACCAGTGAAATACTGCTATCACTGGAATACCGAGTTGTGGAGATATTATAATATAAGGAATATAAGGGAATATCGAAATTAGTTATCACGGTTAAGGGTGCCAGTTTGTAAGCAGTTCGTTCACAAAGTGGGTGAGAACAGGGATATATTAAAAGCTGGGTATTTTTTTCGTTAGCGGCGTGGGTAGGATGGGAATAAGTGCGACGTGAGAATTTTTCGGTACATGTACACAAGGCAAAGAAGCCAGCGATGTGAGCAATGAGTAAATTATGTTGCATTTTATTAACTTCTTCACTGGTCAAAACTGCACGTCTAACCGAAGTTGCCCATGTTCATTCTCCAGGTAGGCAGGTGTTGACATACGCGTTTATATCGTGCATGATGACATGAATATTAGAAGTATTAACACGGTCATTAATTAGTAACAGCGGGAGGCACGTTATGCCGCCTACAACCTTCTGGTGTTCCTAATAAGTCCAGAGTAGATGGATCATGACTAGGGTTCATGCATATGCTGCATAAGTGCACGTTCAAGCAATGTCCGAGTGAGTTAAACGTTGAAACAAGCATACATGTATACCTGCAGACTCTTTGATATTGACCCAACTTAACTAATATGTGGCGCATACAAGTCACCTACTACCATACAGGTATTCCCACTTTAAAAACCAACCTAACCGATTATTCAAGCTACCGTCCTTCGACCTTGATATCCGAAAGCAAAGGGAACGTAATCAAACAAATAGGAAGGCATACAACAATCTGTAAGTGCCTGGTTTTATCCACAGGTGAGTTTGCCTGTCACACTTACAAAGAGACTAACTTCTTTTGCCTAGGTCTTGATCAGCACTCTGCCTATCCTGCAAGAACTGAGGAACGAGTAAAAACAAAAAATAAAGGAGTCGCTACTTGCCTGTAACCAATCTTATATTTATAATGAATGTGATTATAACTCAACAATATAAAAACAGGTTTACCACTTATCTATACCCGAAGCGAATTGGCGAAGTGGAGTAGAGCCGAAAAAATTGGATGATTGAGTTAAAACAAAAGTACAATGTACACTACAAATCAATCAATAAAGAAAGCCTCGCAGTCTTATAGAAAGTATAGCTCCAACATGGTTTCCCGCTCTGTTCGTCTGAATTTCTCGGTAACACACTCTATTTGAGTGGCTATAGCATGCCATGTTGTAGAGGCTTTACATCAGAACCCCACTCCGTAGGAAGAACTTCTCTAACCATGGCCGTTTCACTGTGTTATTTTCAGTAGGTATGTTTAGGGTTGCCCATTGAGTGCCTTCGAAGCTGATGAACAGTTGCTTTGAACCCCTTCAACATGCAAGTTTTGCGTAGCACATCCACATGGGAGAGTTTAAGTTTATTCATCTAGTAATTTACGAAGAAATATGATAATCATAACTTAGTTCACTAACCCTCCCTATTGAAATCGCCTTACGAGACTATTATCGGTTGCTTTCTAGTCTGAGTTCTCGCGACTGTTACCCACTAGTCAATATCTGCAGACGTAATTTTCTGCCATGAGTACGTTCATCTTTATCAGTTAGAAGGACTTTCTCAATCGTGGCACGTTAGCATAAGCCCATAACTTTCTGGCAATCTCTTATATGTATCTGCTATTACAGTTCATACGCATGGTGAACAGATATACATGAGCAAACAGTATGAGTGATGAATTCCTCAATACCAATCTCAAGCCATCGGAGTCGGTGATTCACACCATGAACGTCTCGACCTTATTACAGTGTTATGTTTCACCGATCTCTGATACTCTTTGCTGGTGACATGGTGATGCTCACCACTAAAGCTGACCACTTGCTATACTTCGTTCGACTGTCTGTGTGTTCCAACTAGAATAGCAGTAATGATAAAGATCTGCTTTATTGAAAGACAGAACTTTCAGTGAAACATAGATTTTTCGGCATTTGTCGCAGTGTTGCATCCAGTATAAATGAAATTAACCAAAGGAACTTATCCGTATACACAGTAGGAATAATGTCAAAATGTGCAAAGTACAATTATTGCGGCTGCACACATGCTAGCTTGGAAGTTTAACTGGCCACAAGGAGACGACATCTAGGTGGGAACAAGCCAAAACTTGGTTAAGTTAAGAAAGAAACTATTTGAGAAACAGCCGCAAACAGACAATTCAACACCACTTTTGTGAGGTGAGATTTTACCTGGTTGTCAGTGGCGATCAAATGTTTATCTATCTGCCTTTGAGAACAAGTACAACACAAAAAGGAAGGCGCCAGTTAAAGAAGTAAACAGTCAGCTCTATGAAGTTTTAACTGGCTTACAACTCTTGATTTGTGGGAGACGCAGGAAGCCATTAGCTTTATGATTGTGCAGGTCCTGAAGTAATTCTGGGGACAATCTCAATCAAGAGGCCGTTGGAGTTTTCCTGCCCAGGATGTTGGCTGAGAAATTAGGTGAAGGAAGCAAGCTAGCATCCGAAGTCGTCGGTGAAGACAGTTATTGAATGAGCCAGAATATTGAGGCAGAACAACATGTTGAATTAGTGAGCACATGAAGTACAATGTGCAGAAAAATTTGCTGTCAAGACAAATAAGAGACCTCGAGAATCTGAGAAGATAAGTGGTGTCTGCATCGTGAGATCAGCTTTAGAAACAGCCATGACGAAGCATAGCGTGTTGAGGGAACGGATGGTTTCTAGTAGCGGTGAGAGCATGGTGCAACAAACTGACTCCCACTAAGTAGTACCGAAAACGAAGAATTTAAGAAATTACTGAGGAAATAAAATCAGGGATCTCATAAAAAGGTCTTTACAGCTACGAATTCTGTTTCTAAACCTTCTGACTCCACTTGAAGTGTCATTATTTGAAATCTGTGGGATTCTAAAAGAATGGATCCAGCTGTGTCGCTGTGCGCACCACCTCGAGGCAGCTGTTGCTATGTTTCGTAACCTACCCCTGATAAAACGAATGGACTTCATGTAAGAAAGGTCATCAGAGTCATCAAAGTATGGATACCTTAACGACTACTGACGACAGTCTTAGGAATGACATGTACATTATTCTCCACAACCCATTCAAGACGAAGGATGAAAAGTCAAGAAAACGGCAAGATTGGCTTTAGATGATATGTTGAAAGGAAGGAAGCCGTAGAAAGACTGATTTCTTGGTGAAAAATAAGAAAACGACTTTAAAATACTCATAGACGAGTTCTCAGAAGTATAC